AATACTTTATTTGCAATTTAAGTAAACGTGTGCTACAAAAATTTAATGACTTGGTTGAAATAAAATACTCACTATTTGATTTTGGGTTAGCGTAAATATTACAATGGAAAAAAGCGAGAAAGCCTGGAAAATTTGATATGCTAAAAAGAAAACTGAATTAACACTGTGCTGAATTTCTTGCGCAATCATTAAAAGAGCTAATTTGCAAACTATGGATTTGACCCAATAAAAGATTTTTACAGTCAAGAACGATTTTTACAATAAAGTGAGGGTTATTCGCTAAATCAAATCACTGAACAATAGTAAACATTATCGGGGATAGTGGTGAATTACCTGTATACTCCAGGAACTTCACTAGAACCCACTATAGCACAACGCAAATCACGTTTTGAAATGTAGCAAAATCTCTGAACACTTCCTGTAGTCTAACGATCAATGGGACGCCCGCAAGAATAACCCCAAATGCATTGAACGAAATTTCACCCTCAATATCACCGATATCAAATGATATTATCTGTGGGAAATACAATAGTACTCTGCACGTTAGATCCCCAAGTCTTTATAGGACATTCAGACATTAGATAGGACACTTTGCTACTCCTTTCAGGAAGCTTAAGAAAATCCAACTGGTGGTCAAAGACCCAAAATGGTCTGCTCAAGCCTGCCGGGCACCAGATGCCAACACAACTAAGCTGGCATCTGGCTTTTGGCAATCATCTGCATATTCTACTCCCCCGCTAAAATACCGTAACTGTGGGAAACCTTCAATGACACACTTAGCCAAGAGTTCCTTAGACAAAACACACCCAAACAGGCCTGCCTCACATGCTGCAGCTACCAGAAGCAATTTTTGTGAGCATGTTAGACAATACAAAGCTTTTCGTCTGCCATAGCCAGTTGTTTTTTTAGGAACAAATCACAACACACCTCTACTGCCACATCCAAGAAGGACAGGCCAATGGAAGAATAGGTTATGGATATATATAGTTGAGGAGCAGAAAGCCATTACAGATTATATAGGCTATACTATTCAGTTCGAAATAAAAAATTATAATCTCAATCTCAGTTCTGATTCGGTTCTTTACCAAGTGACGTAAAACTCTCTGTTGTGCATCCATTAGACTTTTAAAACTCATTAAGCCCTTCAGGTTCGTTAACTTTATTAAAATATGTTCTAAAAAGCCATAATATGAAATATTTTATCACATTTCCAACAAGAATAACTGAAAATTCCAAAACAGCCATAGACAATTTTTTCTAAAAAAAAAAGGCTAAAACAACTTTTTATGAAGATCAAATAATATAAATCATCAAATGTCAAAAAAACTGTTTGGAACATATTCAGAAGTTGGAAAGAATAATAGATCAATAAGAAAGTTTGTGTTAAATGATGGCTTAAATGATATAACTAATCCTAAGGACGTTTCAAATATGTTTAATAGGTACCTATTTTACAAATGTTGTTAAGAATATAACTACTAGCAGAATATAGGAAAGAAATAGAAAAGAGCTTATTCTTAAGTCCAAGTTTTAGACTCAATCCTGTAAATAAACATGAGGTGGAAAAAGTCATTAGCAGTTTGAAAAATAAGCTTTCAAGTGGCTATGATGAAGTTCCTACTACAGTATTTAAGGGAGCAAGCCAATACTTAACCAAAGTTTTATGTCACCTGATTAATTCTTCTTTCATTTCTGGCTTGTTTCCGGCACAACTTAAAATAGCAAAAATAATTCCAATTCATAAAAAAGATTATCCTAAAAATGTTTCTAATTATAGGCCCGTAGCTCTGCTTCCTTCTGTTTCCAAAATATTTGAGAAAATAGTTTCTGTACAATTAACATCATATCTAGAGCAACATAACTTATTTGATGACTTACAGCACGGTTTCAGGTCAGGAAGATCTGTTATTAGTGCTGCAGTATCCTTCATAGAATCAGTAATAGAGTCAGTTGACGAGGGCAAACATACAACGGGTATATTTATGGACCTCTCAAGAGCATTTGACAGTGTTAATCATCTAATTTTAATAGAAAAATTAAAGAATATTGGCATTTCAAAAATATCTCTAAATTGGTTTAATACATTTCTGGTAAATAGGTATCAGTATGTAGAAGTAAAACATTTGTCACCGAATAACAAATTAACGAATATAGCTTCAGACCTGGAACTAGTAAAATATGGTGTCCCACAGGGACCAATATTATGTAATATAGCAAATGGAAATAAAATTTTTTGTAGAGCTAGAAAATTTAAATGATTACTTAAAAAAACATAATTTGTTTTGTTTTGTTGTGTTGTGTAGTGTCTAAACGCACTAAAAACTAACTTCATGCAATTTAAAACTACCCAAAATAAAAACAAACGGTATCAGCATTCTGACACATACTTTCTCCCATAAGCTTGCCAACAGCCTTTATCATGTGTAAGAGTAAATGTACGGAAATGGGATTTGTACAATTTTGTTCAGAATTTAAAGACTATAACATACAAAAATGTTATCAAAATCATTCGGGCTATTTTTGGGAAAATCCGATTTTTCTGTTATTTTATGGGAAAATAACATAATTTACAATAACTTTTGACCCGTAATTTTTACAAAAATGGGATTTGTACCATTTTGTTCAGATTATAAAGGACAATAACATACTAAATTTTTATCAAAATCGTTAGGGCCATTTTAGTGAAAATCCTATTTTTCCGTTATTTTATGGGGTTTTATGGGAAAATCCCCATTAAAAATCAAAATTTCCAAAAAATGAAAGAACTATCAAAGTTGTAAGGACCATAACATACTATGTTAAATCAAAACCGGATTTTTTTCTAAAATCCTATTTTTTGTTATTTTATGGGGGTTTTTATGGGAAAATAACGTAATTTACAATAACTTTTGAACCGTAATTTTTACAGAAATGGGATTTTTTACCATTTTGTTCAGAATTTAAAGGGCTACAACATACTAAATTTTTATCAAAATCGTTCGGGCCATTTTTTTAAATATTCAATTTTTCCGGTTTTTTATGGGTTTTTATGAGAAAATCCCCATTAAAAATCTAAATTTCAAAAAAATGAAAAAAACGCCTGGAGATACCATGGATTAGAACCTACATACCAAATTTCATCGAAATCGGACCACAGGTGTAGTCCCTAGCTCTGTAGGCTACACATCCAGACACACACACACACACACACACAGACATCACTTCGAAAACCATTTTTATTGGGTCCAGGGGGACCCAAAACGAATATATCCACTCAAAACTTAAACTCGAAAATTTTGACGAAAACAATACTTTCTCCATATACTATGGTATAGGCGGAGAAAGTAAAAATGAGAATTTAACTATTATGTCAGATTCACAGATGATTGAGGAGAAGACAAGTACATGCTTCCTTGGTTTAACAGTGGATGCAAATTTAGATTGGAATGATCATGTAGGTAGGGTGTTAACAAAAGTTAACTCTGGTATATATGCTCTTAGGAAAATGTCGTTATACTGTGGATCGGAGACACTACGTCATATCTATTTTTCATATATTCACTCACACATAAGTTTTGGATTGTGTCTTTTTGGAGCAACACGAAAAATAAATATGGACAGTATCTTAAAAGAACAAAAAAGAGCCATAAAAATTATTCTTAAACTAAATTATGATCAATCAGCCAAAGAGGAACACTTTGTAAATTTTAAAATCCCCACAGTTTATGGACAATAAATTTATGACTGCATACTAATTTCTAAAAATGAGGCAGTAAGTTCTAAGTCTTCTATATGCCACAAGTACAATACAAGACATAAAAATGAAATAATCCCAAATCATCATAGATTAAAACTTTACGAGGAAAAACCAACATATTCGGGAAAGAAATTCTTTACGTATTTACCAAAAAATATAAAGTCTGAAAAGAATATTGAAAAATTTAAGAAGAAACTCAAAGAATTCATAATAAACAAACCAATTTATTCTTTGGATGAGTTTTTCCACCTTTTTTCACAAAAGAACTAAAAGTATATTTCAGGACAAATTATCTTAATAGTTAAGGTTCGGAGACTGATGTATTTTTAATGTAATTGTTTGACACTATGTGTACCTATGTGCATGAAATAAATAAAGAATTTTTTATTTGATTTGATTTGATCAGAAACCTGAACGTTAAGCAGGCCCCAAGATTGGTTGTAGCTCACTTGGGCAACCACACTAAGTCATCATGGTGAAGTTGGCTGACTCCGGTCAAACTGTTGTCACATACCACGCAATAGTTCTCAATCCTTTCAAACTGACTAAGAAGGAAGTTCATGTCAAAGTTACCTTTGCCATAACTATAAACAAAGCACATGGACAGACGCTAGCGAAGGAAGGATTGTTCATGCCAGACCCCGGTTTTTTCACTCATACAGTTAGTTGTTTGTGGCGTTGTCAAGTGTATGTTTTTTTTCAAAACTATGTGCAAAAAAGCGATCAACACTAAAAAAATCGTATTTGACCATAACATCACTTCAAACATAGTGTTCAAAGATGTCCTGTTAACATGTAAATATTTAAATAACTAAAAATTATGTTTTGAAAAAGTTAATAATCTAAAATGTACACCCACATCTATTCCTGACGTAAGGACTCATACCTAAATCAATGATGCACTTACTACGCAGTATTGTATGTTGTGTACTTAAATTGTGGGATTTGAGGAGGGTACAGTACGAATGCTTCGCACGGGTCGGCTAGTTGTTAATAATTCTTTTGACTTTTTTTGCTCATACTTATTGAATAAAATTCATATTGACATGTTACCTGTATTTAATACTATCCGCCATGAGTACTTTGAGAACTAATTAAGAAGTAAATATTAATTGAAAAAAATAACAGAGAAGTGAAGCGACAAAATGCTAACAACGTTGGAACATGTTTAACTAGTGAGGTTCTGTTATACCTCTCTTAAATTAATTTCTTTGTACACTTTTTGGATATTGTTTGAATTAAAATTAGCTTTTCTCTTTTTTAGGAATAACAGCAAAACTGTATTGTTTTGATCCTCAAACTGAAGATGTAAAAGTGAAATTCCTAGGCGAGTTTAAAACTCCCGGGAACAATGCTTGCCTGGTCAACAAGACGATATACAGTTTTGGAGAGGAGGATGGTGTGCAATCCGTAGAAGAGTACAGTATCAAAAAAAGAACTTTCACAACACTTTGGCATCACAAGCGGGCAGATGAGGACGAGCCTTCTGTCTTCTGTCTCAACCAAGCGGCTGGCTGCTTTTCCTTTCCTAAATATTACTAAATTTGTATGAAACAAAAACACTAACAATTATTATCACTGACACAAATCAATGAACCAAACACTGACACAAATGAGGAAAACCCTTCATGCTTAGAATTAAAGCAGTTTATAAATATAATTTTATTTTAAAACTGTATTTGCCTTATATAAACAATATACCTTACATCAGAGTTTCTCAAAGTGTTGTCCGAGGCCCCTAGGGGTCTGCGGGCAGGTTTTAGGGGGGTCGCCAAAAACATTTTAATCGAATTTATTTTTCACACCAAAAGCGCCTATTTCTGAAAATAACAGTTTCCGTTTGCATTACAAAATGCATTCGTAGCAAGCTCTACAAGTGCCTATGAGCAGGTAAATATTGGGTTAATGGTGTTAGGGGGTGGGGGTAGTTGTAGGGGGCAGTGGCGGCTAGCTCATAAGGACTCTCGGACGCCGCCCTCCCAACAATACATAAATAAATTACATTTTAATATTAATATAATTCAGTTAAATGTAATTAAATTTACTTTAACGAGTATTTCAAACTATATACAACATAAATATATCAAATAATTGGATAATTTAATTCAGTAAAGACTAAATTTTGATCGTCGCTTGCTTAGTAAGGACGGCGCGGACGGCGGCCAGACCGTCCCAATCCCAATACATGTAGTCTTATGGCAGAACAACCAAACCGCTCTGAGGGTGCCATGACGCCATTCCATTGCTTTAGTATAGGCGCTTTGGGGCAGAGTCCAAAGTTGCGCGCACACTCTTAAATCAGGGCAGCCACCACAATCTGGATATTCTGTATGGTAAGCTACAGTTATGAAGGGTAGAACTGATGTTGGCACACCTGTTTGTCATAACTCAAACCATCTAATTTCTAAAACTAGAAATTAGAAAACAACTGTGCTAGCCTCCAAATGTTATTTTGGTTTGGTGTTGATGTTTAGTGATTAATGAATAGTGATGTAGAAGTACTGTTTGTGCGTGTATTTAAGCAAAATACTAACATTGTATACCCTATTAAATTGATTTCACATCCAGTTTAGTTAAAGGTAGGCCATGCATTTCTGGTTAATTAATATTATTGAAGTACAATTTGTTAGGTACCGGTATAAGTTTATGGTTTAAATGTAATTTGTTTTCGTAAGCGGTTTTACTTTTTTGGCTTTCTATTCCTTAATACCTAAGATATTTTATAGAATACTAGCAGAGTACCCGTCCTTCGTACGGGGTAGGCATATAAGTACAAAATGCTTATTGCAGTTATGGGTGAGGACATGGTTTAAGAAAGGTTGGTTCTTTTGTTCTACCACTGCCCCTGAACCATAGAAAAAAGTAAAGGTCTCATTATGTACCACAGCTTTTTGTTGGTATTTGGTTCAAATTAGCTGTTGTCATAAATGCAAAAAAATAATTGTGCTGCACCCTGTAGGTAAACCTTAAAACCTGTTAGTGCTATTTAATATCATAGAACTAACTTGTGCAGGGTGAAATTCTTTAATTCCCTTTGGATGTATTTTTAAATAACTTCTTGATCAGCATCGTACGTGTTATTAAATTTACGGAAAGTAAATGAAAGATACCTCTTATAACACTTACCACATATATTTATACTTATACTGTTACTCACAATACGGTAAATATACAAGAAAGATGGTAAGTGGTGATCAATTTCGATTAGACACTCCAATCATCATCAGACCCAATAGGCGGACCCAATATATTTACCGTCTTGTGAGTAACAGTATAAGTGTAAATATATGTTTAAGTGTTATAAGACGTATCTTTCATTTACTTTCCGGATATATTTTTATCAAACTTGGCAAATTTATTTATTCTATACTAAGCTAATAGTATTTTCCTAAAATCACACTTCGTAACCCTCTCTGTAGCAGCATAACCTAGATACTCGTTAAACCTAATGTTATTGTATTGGATATAATTGAAAATAGGCTGCAGGTGTGCTGCGGCGGGGGTAACATGGAATTGTAATTTATGTAGAAAGAAGACTTTGTGGTAGTACATGATTAACTCTAAGTTATATAAGATACTAAAAAAATCCATCCCCAATTAGTCCCAATTAGTATTTGGGGTCCCAATTAGTAGCGTATGTCGCTTAAAAATTTGACTGGCGCTACTATTCGTATTCGCTAGCTGCTATACCCGTGCCTTGCAACGGGGTCAGTATGCAAAAGAGTTATTGCTGGTTCTTTGAAAATGCCAAATGGTTTCACCCCCTACCATTTATTTTAGAAACGAAATTGAACTGTATAAGCCTACTTAACTTGATAATAGTAATAGGTCTAGTACTTTTTTGCTAACTCATACTGTGAATACTTATTTAGGCTACCTAGGATACAAAGCCAATGATATATTTTAAGGTACCGGTATAATAAAAAGAACCTGTTTAACACGTAGAGTGCGGCCGTTCCCGATCGGGTACGGCGCTTGGCCCCCGTACGGTGCGTCCGTACCCCATTGGGAACGCTCGGTAATGCCTTTTGTATATCTTCGTTTTTGCTCTAGCGTCGGCCGAAAGCGGACCTATACAACGTTAGCGTGTAGTATGTGACTTGCATTTTGTTGTGGTGTAGGTTGGTAGTAAATTTCCCCGTAAAATCCCCGTCTGGCAATCTCAAAAGTCTTCTTTTTGTCCCGTCTTTTTCCCTCCATTTGGCAATACAATTCCAATGGGACCGGCTACGTTCCAAGCAGTGCTGCTATCTGTGGGTGTTTAGCGAACTACATCGACTCTCGTTGTAAAGCAGGACATCCCCTCACGTTATTTGCTATTCGTCAGACCAAAATTGAAAAGGCCAATCACACGCGGCAATCGGGTTTACTCGACGCTGAGGGCTGCGCCGCACTGGGGATACGCCCGCTATTTGACGTGCCGCAGCGAACGTGTTAATGGTTTGGACTGTAAACGAAAAGCTATAACAATAGTTCCAAACCTGTCAACAGTGTAGTTTTCTAACATACTTTAGGGAAATGGCAATCAGGCAAATGGAAATTCGCTTAGTCTATAGGTTTGCTGCAGCAGGGATATTCAATTACTGTTTACACAAAAATAAATCTAAAACATAATTCTCATACAACTCAGGATAAGGGCATAGGTTGATACGGCAATGATTGTAGAATATTAATTATTTCCTATATCTATGAATAATTTCTTTTTACAATGAAATATTCACAGTAAAATATTATTACAGCATATCACAAATATTAGAACAAGCTCAGTATAATTGATTATAAACATAAACAAATGATGAAACTGAAAGAGTCCTATTATAATGAAATGACACTAACATATAGTTTGACAGCTCCATTTAAGTAATGTTAAATAATGTTTACATTCAGGCTAGTGACATCATTATTTGAAATATGGTCCTTAGCCTCTCTGTTCTAATATTCGTGCAGTATTTAAATAAATGTTTGAACCAGCTGTGTGGAATTGTGAAATCAAAATTCATTTGACAGTTAGTTCTGCTTGTTTACATTTTTATACTTTGCAGGATTGTTCCTTGTTACCATGGATACCATCAATCAATATTTACTTTTAAATCTCTCACCTCAAATTTTGAAAGCCCACGGGGCAGAGCCCTTGGACAATATCGAAGCGGGAATAGTTCTATATGTATCCTCAGAGCTGTAGCTTCATTTTTGTGCAATTTGAGCCCAGTCGGTTCAGTAGTTTTTGAGATTATCTCATACAAACACACACACAGACACCACCTCTTCTTTATAATAGTAATAATAATAATAATAATAGATAGATTATCATTATTTTGGTAACGTTATTTTCAGGACAGACCCTTTAAAAAAATAACTACCCTGTAACATACTTGAACTTGAACACTTATTAAATAAATAAATATAATATGCATACAGCTAGAAAATGGCTGGATTGCTTCCCTTCTAAGGCTTTATTATTACTGTATTTAATTTTCAACGTCGAGTCAATATATAACACGATGAATTTGTTTTCTAAATTCATATGTTTTTGCGGGGCATTGAGCCGCACAGGTTCACTAGTTAAGTTAAAAACAATAGGAGCCTTGGACTTGGAAACAAGTTTGAATATATATATATCATAGGCTAGGCCTATGTGTGTTTGTATTACAAATTTAAGAATTAAATATATAAAATTATTTGACAAACGTGAATGATGTTAGGCTTTTGTTTATATATAAAAATATACAGAGCCCTCCCACCACATATGAACACCAGCCGCTACTGGTAGGGGGTCCGTATTAAATACATAATTAATTACGGGGGTCCTTGAGTTGGTGAAGTTTGAGAAACCCTGCCTTACATATTTTATTATTGAGTACCTGGGGACCGAGCTTTGGTCAAATGATTAATATCCTCTAAGGGCAGTCTTTGGTCAATTTAATTGATCTACTTGTTTTATAGTATATATTTAATCTGTTAAAATTGTAGTTGATACTTGATAAGCACTATAAAAAATATTTAACAGGCCATAAGACCATTTTGAAACTGATTTTTAACTCAACAGTATAGCCTTCTTTAAATTGCAATTGATACATAATAAATACTGTAGCCTACTGTATGCACAATAATTTGTTTATCATACTTCTATAGTTACCCTTCAATATGTAGAAAATGCTTGAGCTCTAGTTGTAAAGGTTTATAGAGTATAATTCGAATTATAAAGGTCGTAACTACTGTAACTGTTAGAATGCAACACCTGATGAGTATCTAGAATAACTGACACTTCCAATGTTACACAATAAAAGCATGGGGCTAAAAATGGCATTTTGATGTTCAATTAAGTTATTCACTCCATAATACATACAAAGGGTGCTAAAGTTACTAGGTGGCGTTCGCAGAGGCATCCACAAAATTGAGCGGAGTCATCAAGGGTTCATATTATATTGTTTTTGTCATACTGCAGTAATAACAATCGTTTTTAATGCATGCGTTGCGGGTCTAAAGTAGCATTTTTACTCTTTAGGCAGTAAAAATCGTTTTTAGCCTCTATGGAGTAAAAATCTGCTGTTGTCAACTCAGTTGTAAATTTCAATTGTAAACGATTGCATGTATCGAAAATATGTATCGATTAATCGATTCGTGCTTCGTAATCATTTTAACCTACAGTCTACAGTCTCTTCCCATAGCATTTCAGCA